CCCCCCCCCCCCCGGGTCCTGAGCCAGGGCTGGTGATATTGCAGGGTCCAGAGGTGTGGCTGCCATGTGTCCGGGTGACCTTGTGAGTGTGGGTGAGAGGTCGGGTGGGGAGAGGCAGCCCAGAGCTGCTGCTCCTTGTGCGTGAAACTCCCTCCTCCTTCCTGCCCTCGGTTCCCCAAGGTGGTGGGAGTGGGGAAGGTGGGCAAGGGGTCCCGGGGGGGATGATGGACCCTGCCCCTCCTCGGCAATCCTGAGGGGGTGCCCAGCGCCGGAAGTGCAGCTCCATATCCCGGGACCCTGCTTGCGCTAAGCGCACAGGAACCCGGGAAGCTTGAGGCCAGGAGCCTTCGGGGGCCCCAATGTCCGCTGCCTGCGCCCTCGGGAAGCCAGACCTCGGCGGTGAGACTGGGGGCGCTCACACTCCCGCACCCGCCTGTCCTGAGATTCGGGCCTCCTGGCTGCCTGCAGGTTGGGCGGAGGATCCCAAGGGTGCTGACCGCCAGCCAGAAGGTTACTGCAGAATTTCTGCAGCACCGGCCCTGTGCAGGTGGGGAGCCCCGGGGTGGGGGGCGGTGCTGCGGGTGAGGAGGGAGGCCCGAGGCCAGGGTGGGGGCTGCAGCGCAGTGCGGGGCAGTTCAGCCACCCCATCCAACCCCCGCCCCTCCTCCACCCTCTGCCCACTAGAGACAGCAAGGCAACGCGGGGCACCCTCCTCCACCCCCACCGGCCGGGGGTGGCTGTCACCCCCTAGCCGCAGGGTCATCCTGTTCCACGACCCCAGCCTCAGCCCCGGCCCCGTGGTCGGTGACCAGCACGGGGAAGAGTCCCTCTGAGAACACGCGAGTTGCTCACGGAGTGGGATGTCCCCCCCACGGGCGCAGGGCTCGGCCATGGAGAGGGATGTGCCCCGCGGGCGCAGGGCTCGGCCATGGAGAGGGATGTCCCTCGCGGGCGCAGGGCTCGGCCATGGAGCAGCCGCGGGGCTGCGCAGGCATATGGCCCCACCACTCGTTGAACAGAGACCGTGGGAGGCCACCCTGAGTGCCGGCGGCGGGGACCCCCATCACTGCGCGGTAGCGCCCGCATGCCGGAGCCTCGGCTCTCAGAGCCACCTGCCTCCCCGCCCCGCGCTCCAGAAGCTGGCAAGAGGGGCTCGGTGCTGGGCTTCGGGCAAAGAGGCGCCGCAGCAGGGACCCCGCGGACTGGGCTCAGGCGCCTCCCAGGGAAGCAGCAGACGCCCCTGCCACCTCGGCAGGCCTGGTGCTCAGGGCTGGCGGGGCCAAGGCGCAGCGAGGCAGGAGCACCAGGCAGGGGCAGACCAAATCCCTGCCGCAGCACCACCAACCCCGGCACAGTCCCCGCGACTTTCCTCATCCCCAGGCGACCCCGCGGAAGGAGGGGAAGAGGAGGTCCGGAGGCTTGGGGGACTGAAGGAGTAGGGAAGGCAGGGGACCCGGTTCTCTGGGGCTGGAGGCTCCACGGCAAAGGTGCCCAAGCACATGGGGGCACAGGACGTTCCAGCCTGGCCACGGGAACCCGGGCCGGCGGGGAAACGGGGGCCCACGGCTCGCGCGGGATCCAGCACCCTGGGGCGCCTGGGGCGCGCCGAAGTCCCCACGGAAGGGCAGCTAGGAGCCTGAGGGACGCGGGCCTCCTTCGGTTTATTGATTGGGTAGAGTTCGGCAAAGTGCTTCCGAGCGGACCGAGCTTGGCCCCAACGCACGCGGACAGTCGTTTATAAATTTAAAACTCTTCTGTAGCAATCGGCTATATACAGAGTCAGCGACCGCGGCCTTACCAAAGAGCCAGCCCGCGGGCGCCCTCGGGTCCTACGGCCGCCCGGCCGTCCCGCGGCCGCGCTCAGAGGTGCGGCGCGTAGAAGGCTGGCGCGCCGTAGGTCTGCGAGCCCAGAACGAAGGGCGAGAGCACCGCCGGGCTCGACAGGAAGGGCAGCTGCGCGGCGCACACCAGACCGCCAGGGCCGTGAGCCGGGTACCCCGCCGGGCCGTGCATGGCGAGCGGCGCGCCCATGGGCGGCGACGGGCTGAGCGGGCTGAGGCCGCCGGGCAGCCCTGCGCCCGGCCCCGCGCCCGGGCCCGCGCCCCCGCCGCCGCCGGTCGGCGCGCTGGTGTCGGCACCCGGGTTCTGCTTCTTCCACTTGGTGCGGCGGTTCTGGAACCAGATCTTCACCTGCGTCTCGGTGAGGCTCAGNCGCGGGCCCCGAGGCCGCCGCCGCCGCTGCCGCCTCCCCGCGCCTCCGCGCCGCGCGCCG